TAAATAATAGTCCATTGTCTGGTTATTCCACAGTTTATGTACATTCACCTACTGACAAACATCTTGGTTGCTTCCACGTTTTGTTAATTATGAATGAAGCTGCTACAAACATCCATGTGCAGGTTTCTGTGTGAACATAAGATTTTGATTCCTATAGGTAAACAAGGAATGGGACTGCTGAATCCTATGGTAAGAGTATGTTTAGTTTTGCTAGAAACCACCAAACTGTCATCCAAAGTTACTGCACCATTTTTCATTCACACTAGCAATGAGTGAGTGTTCCTATTGCTCCACATTCTCACCAGCATTTGGTGCTGCTAGTGTTCCAGATTTTGGCCATTATAATAAGTGTATAATCATATCTCATCATTGTTTAATGTGCATTTCCCTTATGACATATGATCTGGAGCATCTTTACATGTGATTATTTGGCATCTATACATCTACTTTGTTGAAGTGTCTGTTAAAAATCTTTGGCTCACTTTTTTTTTCACCGTTGTATTGTTGAGTTTCAAGAGTTCTTTGTATATTTTGGATAGCAGTCCTTTATCAGATGTATCATTTGCAAATGTTTTCTCCTACTCTGTGGCTTGTCTTCTCAATCTCTTAATATTGTCTTTTGTAGAACAGTTTTTAATTTTCATGGAGTCCAATTGATCAATTATTTCTTTCAAATATTGTGCCTTTAGTGTTGTATTAAAAAGTTATCACCACATCCAAGCTCATCTAGGTTTTCTTCTATGTTAATTTCTCAGAGTTTTATAGTTTTATGCTTTACATTTAGGTCCATGATCCATTTGGAGTTAATTTTTGTGAAAGTTGTAAGGTCTGTGTCTATATTCAATTTTTTGCAGGTGGATGTACAGTTGTTCCAGAACTTTTGCTGAAAATGCAATCTTTGCTCCATTGTACTGACTTTGTTCCTTAGACAAAGATCATTTGACTATATTTATTTGGTTCTATTTCTAAGCTATGTATTCTCTTCCACTGATCTACTTGTCTTGTTCTTTCATCAATATCATATTGTTTTCATTTCTGCAATTTTATAGTAAGTCTTGAAGTAGGGCAGCTTCAGTCCTCCCACTTTGTTCTTCTCCATAAAAATTGTGTTGGCTATTCTTGGTCATTTGCCTCTCCATATAAACTTTAGAACTAGTTTATTGAAATTCACAAAATAACTTGGATATTTGTATAAAGAATAAAGAGAATAAAAATAGCCAACACACTCCTGAAGAAAAGGAATAAAGTGAAGTTATCTGCCCTGATAAATAGCACAATCTATTATAAAATTGTAATAATGAAAACAATATTAGATCAATTGACTGATAAAACAGAACATACAGCTCAGCTTCACTTATAAACTTAGGCCTGGTTGACTTTGAGCTGAGGGAAGAAAAAAAAAAGACCTCCACAGACTACCTCATTGGTTAGATAATTGCCTAAATCCTAATTACTAAGATAAATCTCTTATTTTATATCACTGATATGGGTTCTCCTTCCCTGAGTAAACCCTGATACAAATAGCATGACCACATACTCAAGAGTATGTGGTCAAATGTTTTAGATAGCTCAAAACTAAAACTAAATAATACGTTTTGGTATGTATCATGTTTATAATTTTTTTTTTTTTAAGAAAGTAAATGGCAAGCAAAATTCACCTCTGGGAGGGAGACAGGTATAGGAAAGTATAGGAAAGAAATACATTGGTAGATTCCATGGTCTCAGGAATGGCACGCATAAAGTTCTTAAGATGGGAGGGGGAATTCACTGGTGTTCATTTTATTATCATTTGCTTAATAATTTACAGGTATATTAAATAGTTAAAAAATAAAGTGCTGCGATAAGACAGTATGAAAATAAGAGTTAAGATATCAAAAATTCAACAGGAAAAGAATGCAGCGTCCAGAGCATAATTTTCTGAACCAACCCTAGGAAAATACCCATCCTTAGAGATAGCAGAGGTTTGCAACATGAGCAGATCCAGAAGTAAGCCACAGTGTAACCGGAATAATTTAGGAGTAGAGCGTACCTTTATAGTATGCTGGGTGTACACCTGAATAGCTTATCTGTCCAGTAACTAAGGCTGCAACCAGTGAGGACTCCATTTCAGACAAAGTTGCAGCTGGTTCCTAACAGGGTTCTCACAGCCAAAGAAAAAATGGAATAACATCCCCTACATAATATTGTTCCATACAATACAAATGAAAACAAAAATGCTTCTATATATTTGTAGGAAACCCCTTCATTATTTCCTCATTCCATAACATAAAACAATTATCATTATTTGGAGACAATAGCTACTTAAAAATTAGAAATAAATCAAGTGAAAATCAAAACAGATTAAATATATCAAAAATCAGTAGTTTAAGAATTTTCAATTGACAATATAATTCCAACAAAGATTAACAATACCAACAAAAGCTACATAATACCTTGAAATAAACTTAACAGGGAATGTGTAAGACCTATATAAGGAAAACTAAAACTACCACTGGACATAGAAGCCCTCATTAAATGTGGAAAAATATCACCTTACTAGTATGGCGTTCTCATTGTTGTAAAGATGTCAATTCTCCTCAAACTATTACATAAAATTAAATTTTTAATCAAAATTCCTAATAGGATTTTTAAGAGGAAAGGAAACTAAGTTGATTCTTAAGTCTATGTGGAAAAGTAAGTCAATGAAAAGAAGTAACAAACTGTTAAAATTAATAATAATAAGTATACATTTGTCTAACCAGATATAAATACTTATGACAAAGCTTCGGTGATTAAAACTGACCCTGATAATCTGATTAATGAAACACAAGAGTCAAGCAAAAGACCCAAGTGTATATGGAAATTTGTATATGGTAAATGAAGCATTTCAAACCAGTTAAGAAAGAAAAGCTTGCTTGGTAAATATTTTAACAATTTCTTGTCTATTTAGAGATAGAGTAGGAAATCAATCTCACAACATACATTACAATAAATTTCTGTTAACTTTAAGATATGAATACTAAAAAATCAAATATGTAAGAAAAAATGTGGGAACATTGTTTTAAATCTTAATTTAGGAAGGTCTTTCAATGCATGACACCAACCTTAGAAGCCATAAAAGAAAAGATTTAACTATGTAAAAATTTTAAACTTCAACATGACAAAAGATAACAAAAACAAAATAAAAAACAAGTGACATACTGGGAAAAACCACTATAACGTATTTTGATATGAATATTGATAATAAATATCTATAAAATAATAAATTAAAATGACCAACTAATGAGTTAAGAATATGAATAAAGTAAGTATAAATAAATTTAAGCATTAACAAAGATTTCTAACATCACTAACAAACATATAAATGCCAAAAGAAAGCAACTATAAGGTAATCTTCCCTATGAGATTAGTAAATATTTATAATATGAAGCACTGGCCAGAAAGCAGGAAGGAGTAGGGACACACACTTTTATATACAGGAGTAAAAGTTGGTACAGGTTTTTATAGAGGAAATTAGCAATACTTATCAAAATTCTGAGTATGCATAGTTTTTAATTTTTAATATACACAGAAATAATTATGAAAAATATGACAGATGCAGAAGAATTTCATTGCAGAATATTAACAGCAAAATGCTAGAAATCACATGCTTCCAACAGTACCCAAGTACCCAATTGTTTAAATAAATTACAGTATATTAGTGTCCTGGAAAATTATATAACTATTAGACTGGAACAGAATCACATATAACAACATGGAAAGATATCTACTATAGATTGTTAAGGGAGATATGCAGATTACAGAACAATATATATCATATGTTATACATGTCTATGCAGAAAAAAAATTCAAGAAAACACACCATATATGAGGAAGTCTGATTGTTTGAAGGGGAAAAATTTTCTTTCTAATTTTACATACTACTGCATTGTTTAAATATTTTACAAACTATATAAAGAAAATGTTTTCAGCTGGCCTAAAATTTAGAAAAAATTTTTCACATAAAAAAAGTAGAAATCTAGGGCACAGTATATTATATCTAGTCCTCTGAGGTTATCATCTTTACTATCTTCATAAATAAAAATACTCATCTCTAGCATTTGAAATTCTTAAAGTAGATGACACTAACATAAGCTTAAATCTATCTCCTAGAATAGTGTAAAAGACAATTTTTAGGAAAATGGACAGCTAATTTTGTTAAAAACATATTTAGAAGAGTCCTAAGTAGACTACATTACAAGTATTTTCTTTATAGAAAATTTAGCCCATTACCATTAGTAAAAAAAAAAGGCTGTGAATACTTCTCTTTAATACATGGAAGTATATGTAAAGATAAAATATCAAAAAAGCCCACTCTCCACCAAGATAAATCTTTCTTTAAAGTAGTTATGATACCTAAAATTATATGACTACCTCAGCAACTAGTTATTAAATGAATGGGATCCTCATCAGAGCTCAGGAATTCTTTCATTCTGGTCCCTTACCGAATGCACAGTGACTAGGAATCAATTGATGTAAAATAAATATTTGTGAAAGAGAGGAAGGAAGAGAGAGAGGAGGGCATGGAGGGAAGGAAGAAGGAAAGAAGTGGGTCACAATATTTCAGAATGATAATAAATGAAACAAAAATTTTTAAAGTAAAATGGTAGACAAACTCATGTGTAGATCTAAATCTATAACTATACTTAGTATACTTAGTATAGTTATGGACTAAACAAGGTGATAAAAGACTAATATTGTCAAACTTGATTAAAACAAAAGTCCAACTAAATATCATTTATAAGAGACATTTTAAGATATAAGGACAAAAAAGGTGAAGAGATAAAAGATGGGGAAAAAATGTACTAAGCAAATACTAACCAAAAGAATGCTAGAGTTGCTGTATTAATATTAGACAAAGCAGGGCTAGAACCAGAGTAAGGCAATCAAGTGCAAGAGCATCAGGAACTTGCAAGAGTGAGTGAGTCAGTGCCTCCTGAAAAGTGAGGCATCTAGGGGGAAAAATTTAAGGAGGCACTTACTCTTAGGGTCAGGCAACTGCAGTCAGCACGAGAGAGTGTCTCCCTCAATTCTGTATTCCAGTTCTGGCCCTGCAACAAAGTAGACTCCAAAGCATAAAAAGGGATATTTCATGATAATAAAGGATAACAATATTAAATTTGAATGTGCCTAAAATAAGAGCTTCATAATATATAAAGCAATGACTGATATATTTAAAAAAACACATGCAAAACAATAAAACTCATCATCACAGATGAACGTTTTAACAAACCACTCTCAGAGATTAGAACATGCCTTTGTCATCAAATGGCATTCTCTGCGTCATTGTGTCTTCAGTCATTGTTTTTTTTTTTTTTAGGTGAGGCAACCCTTGGTTGACCTCACAGATTGCAAGGACCTTGTCAGTTTACAATCCCTTATTTTTTATTTTATTTATGCCTACAGCACCTGGTCTTCCTAGGTGGTCTCCCATCCAAGTTCTAACCAGGCCCGACCCTGCGTAGCTTCTGAGATCAGATGGGATCAGGCTTGTTCAGGGTAGCATGGCCTTAGACTTTAGTCATTTTCTTATAAGGAGAATAGTAATACTGGATGAAGAGAACGCTTTACTTCAGTATGACCTCATATTACTTAATTACATGCACAACAACCCTACTTCCAAACAAAGTCACATTCTGAGGTCCTGGAGGTTAGGACTTCAACACAACTTTTTCAGGGGGAACACAATTCAACTTTCAACAGATGTCTAAAAATGACATGTTATTATTTTGATTTATATTTATTAAATATGATTAGGGTTTATTTTCATGTTTACTGGGCATTTTTATTTTCTTTCTGTTAATTATCTATTTGTATCTTGTTTGATTTTTCAATCGGTCTGTAAATATTTATACTTTGAGGAACTCTCTGAAAAGTAAGGAAATTAATGTCTTGTACATCATATTTAATATTTCCTCAGTTTGTCATGTCTTTTGACCTCACATATATATTATGTGAATAATTTAAAATTCTATATAATTAAATTTCTCTTTGATTAGTTTAGTTATGCTTTACAGCTTCCAGATTTTAGGTTTTAATTTGAAATGCCTCTTCCACTCCTAAGTTAATAAATAAAACCACTTATACTTTTTGAATTAAATCTTCATCCATCTAGAATTTATTTTGGTATTAAGGTGTGATATCCCTTTGTACAGTTAATAATTTAAATAGCCAATTGTCCCAATAACAATTATTGAATGATCTATCTCTCCCTTTCCCATCATTTTGAAAGGAATGCCACTTTCTTCCTTGGTTTATTTTTTATTTCCTCTGTAGTAGAAACTTGTTTTTATTTTTGTAGTTTTGTCACTTGTTTTAAAATGTAAAAAAGCTATTCTCTTGTTAAATTCTTTTCTCAAATATTCCAAATGAATTTTGTCATTTTTTAAAATATAAATTATCTCGCTGGCATTTTATTTGATATTGCATTGAATTAAAAAAAAAAAAAGAACTGGTGTATCTAAAATAAAAATCCCTTAGCACACAAATTATGGTCTCTAAATATCTCATCCTAATAAAACAAAGTAGGTCGCAGGTCTCCTTGGAGGAATGGCTAATTATGACGCTAAATAAATAAATAAATAAATAAATAAATAAGAGTATCCTAAGGCATCTTTTCAGAACAAGCAGCAAGGAAATAAGTAAAGCCTACTAGGGTTGTGTCAAAAGCACTGGAGAATGGATTTGAGGAAGCTGCCACTGGCCAAAGTTAAGAAAATCTAAATACCAAAATGATAACAATTACAATAGATTGGCACATATAATACCATAAAACAACAATATTTGTAAAAACAACAACAAATTAATTGGTCACCATAGGAGGATACTAGCAAGCTAACTGATTATTTTTAAAAGTAGAAAGTAAAGAGAATGAATCAAGAATTACTCTTGTCTTTCTACATAATCTATACCATTGGGTAATCAAATAGCAAATGAGAGAAGTTTCTCTTTATAAATATATTCCAGCGAACAACAACAAAAAAGAATGGAAATCAGAATATCATTGTTTTTCAATGCTTAATAAATTAATGAACTTGGGTATTAATCATTAACAAAAAGAGAGGCAACTGTTCATTATTTGCCTTCCTAATGGAAAAACACAAGAACAAAGACAAAATAATTTTGTGAGGAAAAAAAAGAACCTAAATTAGATGAAACCTTCATATTCAACTAGCAATTCACACTAACTATAGACACAAACATGTTTATACCATGGAGATATCATCATAAAATTCAGACTGTAGGAAACGTTAAAAGGCAAATAATTTATTTTTTAAAAACTGTAAGTTGAAGACCTTATTTGAATTCTAATTCAAAGGAGTAAACTGGAAAACTATATGACATTTAGGAAGCAATTGGACATTTGAGCACTGACTGGATTCTTAATAGAAGAAAATTATTTTTATTATTTGGGTTTTATAATATTGTGTGTGTTGAAAAATTATTTTCAGAAATACTTATATTTAAGAATAAAACAATAAATCTATTTGTGGCAAAGTAGTATGAGATGGGAAATGCATAGAGATAAATATAAAACGTGATTAGTCATTGGTGGATAATTACTGAATCTGGACGAGGTATTTCGTAATTCTCTCTACTACATTTAAACTTTTCTATAATAAGTTTATTGAGTTTTCCTATGCAAGAATGTTGCCTTTCATTTACTTATATATGTTGTTCTACTCTTAGAAGAATTCGAAAGCTTTCCTCTTTTATCCTTAAATGTATTTCTATAAATTTTATCTTTTTGTTTGGTACTGTATACTGTAAATGGGATCTTTCCTGCTATATTTGTTCTAACTGGTTGTTTGCATAAAAGAAAGCTATTTTTGTACAATTAAATAAACCCCGTATTCAATTCTTATTGTTTCTCAGATATTTTTATTATACTGATTTTTCTATGTATATAATTGCTACAGACCGAATGTTTGTATCCACTTCACTCACTACTTGTCGCCCTCGCCCTGTTCATATGTTGAAACCTAATCCCCAATGTGATGGTATTAGGAGGCTGGACCTTTGGGAGGTGGCTAGATGGTGAGGGTTGAGCCTTCATGAATGGAATTGGTGCCCTTAAAAAGAGATCCCAGAGAGTTCTCTTGTCCCTTCTACCTTTCTTTCTGTGAAGACACAGAGAGAAGACAGTTGTTTATGAAACAGGAAGCATGCTCTCACCAGACACCAAATCTGCCAGTACCTTGATCTTGGAATTCCCTGCCTCCAGTACTGTGAGGAATAAATTTCTGTTGTTTATGAGCCACCCAGTCTATATTTTTTATAGCAGCCTGAACTAAGACAATAATCATATAATTAGAAAACAAAGATAAATATGCCTCTTTATTCTTTCCGCAAATTTATACCTTTTATTTTATTCTTTTTCACTGGCTGTTAATTCCAGAGCAATTTTATAAAATAGTTGTAAATGGGTATTATCATCTCATTCTCAATTTTACCAGTAATACTTCTAAGTTTGGTACTGGTTTGTTGTTTGGGATATATATTTTTGATCATGTAAGAAGTATCTATATGTTCATATGCCTTTAAATTTTTGTTATATTTTGCTTTAATCAGAAATAAATTTTTAAAAGCAATCTGTTTCTTATTGGAGACATATGTAATATATATTTCCACTTAATTTGAAATTTATAGACAATATCCAGAATAGAAGCTATTTTAAAAATAAAAGGCAAATACATTCACCTTTTAAAAATTCTGAAGTATAAGATTCTTTGGAAAAACAATAACATTGGTACCAGCTTTTTAGTTACAAATCCAATTTATTTTCTACCAATACCTTTACGTGAAAATTTTTCCCGTAATAAGTTTTCAGTCCCTAGAAGACAAAAATATATGGAACCATGACAGTCAAGCAGGAAAAAAAATGTTTAAATACTCTGGTTCATTAAATGAGATTGTCCAATGAGGGCATAATTTTAACACAGAAGTAACCTTTTATGTTTAAATATTATAGTGTTCCACAGAGTCTAACAATGTAATTCAAACTAAGTTGTAATTCCAATGCCTTTACTCTTTTAATGAATGTGCAGAGAACAGGATCAGTTTTCCATTCTTTGAACTTTTCTTATATAGATGAGGGAAGAGAAATACATGTGGATTAAACAAGGATAATTCGTCCCCTGAATTACACTGAAATGTTATAAGAATTTTATTATTTGTCAATGATTTCCTAATGGAGTACTTTTCTGAAATAATAATGAGAATTATTGGGATATATAGTTAGATAATTTTTCACTCTACTATTTTTAAAGATTAGCTTTAATCATTAAATTGAAGGTTATGTATAATTAAGAGAAGGAACACTAATTGAGATCATAATTTTCTTGACTTCTCTTGGCCTCTATTTTTCTCTAAATAAGGGGGTAGGTCCAGATGCCCTCTAGGATATTTTACAGCTATGAACTTCATTTAGTTATCCACCTAAAGGTCTCTATAACTAGTTGCAACTGTATATTAAAAAAAAAAAAAACAATCTGGCAATTTTTAATCTATCCCATTTATGTTTATAGATATAAAAAAAATTGGTCCTAAATCTGTTATCTGATGTATTTTTGGTTTTACTTCTTATTTTGTTAATATATTTTGCTACAAAGGTTTTTAAAAAGTTAACTCTAAATGATGTATATTGACTCCTCTATGGAAAACTGAAAAAAAATACATGTTTTCATTTTGTCCTACTTATTCTTCTTTCTAATCTATTCTTTTTATTATAAGTTTTATCATTTTTTTTGGTCCTTCAGAAAGTTGCCTTCATAACCTTGTATGATCTATTTAAGCTCCTATTTCTTAAATTTCCCATTCTATATAATACCTGTTAACTCCCAGCTAATACAAATAAATTAGTATATCCACATTTCTTTCCATATTCCTGCATTTGTTCTTTTTGCTATCTGGTGTTTTCTGTTCTTTATAACATTATTATAACCCTGAAAAATAACAGAAATAGTCTCACCAGCATTCTTATCTAAGTATTTCATTCTTCTTCTGATTGTAGGCAAACAAGAAGGGAGAATTAACAATAGCTACTACCCAATATAAATGATAGAGATGATATTTAGAACTTCTGAGCTGATGAGATTTATATGAGGTTTTTGAACTTTAAGTTGACTGTGAATTTGAAGGATGTTGCATTTTGCACGTGAATGGATGTAAATCTTTCGAGACCAGGCAGAGAGTTGTGGTAGGCAGAATTACAGCCTCTCAAAGTTGTTCACATTCTAATTCCTGGAACCTGTAAATATATTACCTTACATGGCAAAATGGATTTTGCAGATAATTTGAAAGTTACAGAGTTTGAGATGGGGAGATTATCTTGGATTGTCCGGGTGGATCCAATTTAATCACATGGTGTCCTGAGAGAAAGGCCCACTGTTGCTGACTTTGAAGAGAAAGGAAGACAGTCTCTGAGCTAAGGAATGTTGGTGGCTTCCAGAAGCTGGAAATGACCCTCAGAAAATGGGAGCCTTTATCCTACAATTGCAAGGAAATGAATTCTGCCAGCAAATCAAATTAGCAGGAAACAATTCTTCCCTACAACCTCCAGAAAGGAATGCAGCCCTGATGCTTTGATTTAGTCCAGTAAAAGACCCATGCCAAATTTGAGAGCTACATAATTGTAAAATAAAAATTAGGGTTGATTTAAGATACTAAATTGTGGTAATTTGTTAAGGTAGCAACAGAAAACTAATACAATTAAAATTCCATTTTAATTTTTCTCCTAGATTAAGAGCATTCCACTCTGAGATCATGTAATCTCTACCTAATTTCTTGAACAAATCAGGATCTCATTAGCAAGGAGAAAGGGGTCAGTGGCAGGGAGAATGGCAAAAATCATTGCTTGCTACAGATGACTAATCCTCCCAATTTCGTTTACGGCTCTAGTCCTCTCTCTCAGACTTCCACCTCATGCTTTACGATCCAGCAGTTCTAATCTATGAGTTTGTCTTCTGCTTCTATACTCTTGGTAATTCAGTTCCCTCTTCCTGGAACACCTTCAGCCAACAGTTTCATATAATATCTCATTAATCCATCCTGGCTCCCTTTTACTCTTCAAAGTACAGCTTAGACATATTCTCTTCCACTAAGCTTTGCCTTCAAGATAAAATTATACAGCCTTTATTCAATTATGTTTCTGCCCTCTGTCTACACTGCAATTATATACACTGCAAATATATACCATAATAAAATACATTTATGTGTTTACCTTCTGTCTTTTCTTCTGGTTACCAGTGGCCACCGTTGGGTCAAATGTTTGTTGATACGACGACTGCACCCAATAATATTTATGAATTGAGGGAACTATGCATTCTTTATAATTATACTGAATTGTCAATTTATACTGAATAGTACCCACAATAGACACATATACGCTTTTTATACTTTACATTATGAAAGACAGAAAAATACAAAAAAAAAAAAAAAGGTGGAGAGAGCATTATAATGAATCCCCATTAATCAGAAATCGGTTTAAATAACCATAACATTTTAAATCGACTAGCAAAATAGTTTGTTTATTCTGCCAGCAGGCTTATCTGTTGTCAACAGAGACTGATTTATATCTAAGGTGAGGAAATACATTTCAAGTCTCCAGGATCATAGTTCTCGTGAACTTTAATAGCATGCTCAGAGCGAGCCACTAAGTACTACCAGTGACCAAGCAGCAATAAAAATCAGGTCTATTATAGCGTAGAACCTGAAAATACACTTCATATGTGTCCTAAATGGCCATTACATGTTACAAGACTTGTCCATGAAAGCGATTCCTGCCACCTTATGACATAAGAAAAAATTAAGGTGTTTTGTTTTCATTTGTTTTTAACGGCCCACTTCTGTGTTAGCAATAGAGGATACGTGCCCCTGCTCTCTAGGATAAATCGCATTGGCTGAAAATTGCTTGAATTCATTTAATCCAAATCAAAAGCAGAGGACTGAGGGTCTTATTGGCGTTTCAGGGATGTCCTACTATGCCCGCACCGCGGGGAGTGAGGGCTAGATTCTCTAAGGGAGGCTGGGGAGTGGGGACGGCGTTTGGTGAAACCCCATCCAGAATTTAGATCCCAGGTAATGGCGCACGCTTTAAAAGGAAGACAGAATTAAAGAACAAAGGCTGGAATCACGGCCTGGTGAGGGACAAGCCCACCCCAAAAGTATTAATCTAACGGTCCTCTCCCCGCCCCCTACCCCAGGGCGAACGGGGGCAGACCGAAACTACACTTCCCAAAATGCAAAGCGGTGAGGCGGTGCTAAAAAGCTAGACTGTTTCTACCTCACGCGGGCTCGAGGCGCTTCTGGTTCGGTTATAAACTCCATTCGCTCTTCTTGGCTCTCTTCCACCTCAGCCTAATTGGCTCGGCAGTCAGTCCGTGGGAGGGCGTCTCAGTCGTCACTGGCAGCGGTTGAATTGAGGTTCTGAGCCTCGCGACCTCACGGTAAATAAAGTCCTTCGCTGGTCGGAGCTGTAGCTTCTCCGACTGCGTTGGAGCAAGCGGACTACATTTCCCAGTGGGCCGCGGGACCGCCGGGGGGGTTGGGGGCGGAGCCTTACGTCTGGTACAGTCATACCAAGCTTCTTCGGTGGGACTGTGATGGCCGGAGAGATGACGATCTTAGGTCAGTGAACGTGCGGGGTCCCTGTCGGCGTTGTGGGTGCAGGAACAGTTTGGGGAGGCTGGGGTGGACAGGGGTGGTTGTCACACCTTTTGGATCCAGCTGGCGCCGCAGGGAGGGCCCTGGGAAGGTGATTTAGAGGCAGTTTGGAGCTGTTCGGGGAGCCGGTTTGGGAGTTCCCCTCTAGGATGGCCCAGGCTGAGGTAGGCCCACGTAGGGCCGGCGGCAACCTTCTGCGTACATCCCGGGGACACTGGGCCTCGGGAAAAGTTCTTTCCCAAACAGCATGTATTTCGAATCGTTGGTTGAATCGGGGCCTTTAAGAGGCTGCAGGAATGTGCATCTCCAGCACTCCTTTGTGGAAGAAGTGGGAGGAGCCCCAGCTGCGTCCTGAGCTGTAGGTTCGAGGGATGCGGGATTTTGAGAGATGCAGGCCTCCAATGTATAGTCCTATGCTCTTTCCGCCAGTCCAGGTTAGGAATTCCCCTCCCCGGACAAGGCGATGAAATGCTTTTGAAATTTTACAGGAGGAAATGGGGTTGGCACTTGATTTCATTTCTTTGAGTTATGTGTATGTGGATGAGCAAACAATTAGTAAAACAGACTCTTTTAGGGTCATACCTAACGGGTTGACACTGGTGTATAACAGCCTCCTGAAACCAAACAACAAATTAATCGTAATATTCGAAGTGACATTTTTCTTCGTCACTTCTGTTTACATCTTCATGGCATTTGTTCATATTTATTTTTCTCACGAATTAATATTTATTGAACATCTGCTATTTGTTAGGAACCATTCTTGGTGCAGGGAATACGACAGCGAACAAAACTTGCCTTCAAGGAGCTTCCATTTCTGTTGTCTAGTTTGCACACTTTTATGCTTCTTTCCTAAATATTCTGCAAGAAGTATGTCCTTAATTGATATTTAAATACAGAAAAAGTCAACTATGTTCTGTTATGAAGTGACAGTTTAATATGTAAGCAACTTTCAAAATCATTTTATCCAATTTATCCATTTCATCCTGTTGAAAGAAGAAAGGAGATAAGGGGATAAAGAATTTTAGCCTTACGGTTAGAGTTTTTGCTATGGGAATTTTAATAATGGAGTTTTTAAAATAATAACTAAAGCTAATTGTAAAATCTAAGTATTAATTGATCAAAATTGGATTATATGTAGCTTTCACTGCAAATGAATGGCTTTTCCTGTCAACATCACAATTATTGAAATGTTTTTACTTTTTATTTCTTTATTCACCCATAGCGAAGTACACAAATATATGACTTCAGGGATTTTTGTTTTTGTTATGTCATTTTAATTGCATTGTGGTCAGTTTACATTGTGAAAAACTCCATGTTTAAGTGTGTATTTTTAGTCTTGTTTTAAAGTAGTATTAGACATTGCTATAGTAATTTAGCGAATTGTATGAGTTTGTTAAGACTTGTCTTTTAATTTGCCTGTATTTCAGGATCAGCTGTTTTGACTCTTCTGTTGGCTGGCTATTTGGCACAACAGTATTTACCATTGCCTACTCCTAAAGTGATTGGCATTGACCTTGGCACCACCTACTGTTCTGTCGGGGTGTTTTTTCCTGGCACAGGAAAAGTAAAGGTCATTCCAGACGAAAATGGGCATATCAGCATACCAAGCATGGTGTCCTTTACTGACCATGATGTTTATGTGGGCTATGAAAGCTTAGAGCTGGCAGATTCAAATCCTCAGAACACGATATATGATGCCAAAAGATTCATAGGCAAGATTTTTACCCCAGAAGAGCTAGAAGCTGAAATTGGCAGATATCCATTTAAGGTAAGTAATTAAGCTAAAATCTATTTTAATTTTAGTTCGGCATACTATTTCAATTAATGCTTTGACTTCAAATTAGAAAACTTTTAATTTCAACTGAATCTGCATAGACGTTATCTCATTTAATGGGCAATCCCAGGGCAGGTCTAGAGTGAGTTAATTCAATGGCTCTACAGTGCTATCAAGGACTTAAGACCTTTTCATATTCTTGCTTTTCCATCCTCAGAATGTCTCCCTAGGTCTTTCATTGTAGCAAGAAGGTTATTGAAGTCCCACATATTCTAGATAGATGGGCGGGTGGGTGGGTGGATGGATGGATGGATAAATTCTCTGTATCTCAGTTTATACATAAATGTAGATCAAACTAATTATGTTTTATGACTCATTTGAAACTCACCAATATGTCATGAACAATTATTCATTAGGTTCACATTATATTTCGTGGTTGCTTGGACTATTCAACTATTTAATTACCCAGTTCCTATATACCATCCCCCTCCCCGGTTTTCCACTAATGTTAGAGTGTTAGTGAATATCCTTCTACATATATCTTTTTACACTTCATTAATAATTTCCTAAATTTGAATTCTAGAAGTAGAATTGAGAGGTCAAGTATGCATGTTTTTAAGGCTTTTGACTTATATTGCCAAATTATGCAACACAAGGTGTATATGCTCTTAACTACTAGTTTTTACAGTATCAATACATTCAGTAGTTGTTATTTTAATCTCTGCCCATAAGTAAATAAAAAAATGATATATTAATTTGCATTCCTATGATTTCTAGTGAGGACACACAAATTGGTTTATTACCATTTTCACTTTCTTCAGTGATCTATTTCTTATCCTTTGTCCTATTTTCATGGGGTTGTTTATCTTTTCTTTGATGACGTTTAACACATTTGTGATATATTTTCAGTAGTTTTTCTTCTTTTTTCTGATATGTAATTTTGTTTTTGAGCTGTCAAGACCATCAATTTTTGTGTAGTAAAATCATCTCTTAATATTTTTTAATGGTTTTGGACTCTTACCATGCTTACAGTGACCTTTCCCAACCTATCCACTTCTTTTTTTCTGACACTTTCATATGAGTATTTATGTTTGGAGTTTTCTGGATTTTTTCTTTTAAACATTTAAATGTTTATTTCATGTAGGGTTTTTCTTGTAAATTATGAAATGGGATTCTAAATAAGTTTTAAAATAGTTATATCAGTGCTGCTTATTGAATAATCCATCTATAAAAATTCTCAAACTTTTTATCCATTTCAAAGGAGAAAAAAATTCTTCATACATTTCTTAAGTTTTTTTTTTTTTTTTTTTTTAAGCTTCTTAGGATCCTTTAAAATCTTTCTTATGTAATGATAAAGTCATAGAAAGCTAAACATTTTTCTCTAAATTACAGCTTTGGATACATTACTTATTGATCCAAGAGTTAATTTAAGTTTGTTTTTTTTTTCCTTAAGTTTCTAAGTAATCTGATATTTTTATTGTTTCTGTTTTGTGTGGGTTCTGATGGTACTGGTGTCTGGACCTTTTTAAGTGTCTGTAGCTTGTTTTGATTTTCCCATACAAATGAAATACTTTTTGAGAGGTCAGGTTTTCTTGATTAAAACCTAATTATGCAGTCTAGAATGACTAGGGTAAAGTTTCTTAGAACAGGCTAATTCTCTTTACAATTGTTAATACAGTCTTTTCTGTTGGTGAAACTAGGATAGTATGTTTTAGAATTTGGTTTCTTAAATGGACAACTACATTAGCGGGAATAATGAGCTAATAAATAATACATATTTTCGTGGAAACAAGAATGTAAATGGTATTTGATTTCTTGGATCAGAACATGATGAAGTACTAAAATTATTCTTGCTAATATGTACCAGAATATTTTTTCAGTTTTCTATCACTTTTGAAGAAAAAGATCTTTAGTCATATATATGATTTAACAACTGTTATTTCTTATGTTTTATCAGTCATTTTTTCTTTTATTTAACAAATATATTTTGAGAATTTTTTACATTCCAGTTATATGGTGGTAATGAATGTTACTCTGCTGTTATTGAAAATTATGGTGTGGATTCATTTTATAGATTTTATAGTATAACTTTTAGTAACTTCTAATCTTAATAAAGGTACTTGATTACAAATGAATTTTATGACTGTAAAGATAAAGGTAAGTTTTGATTAAATAAGTCCAATGTATGTGTGTGTGTGTGTGTGTGTGTGTGTGTGTGTGTGTGGATACACACACACATTTTTACACTTTTTTTGCAAATCCTGTCCACAGGTTTTAAACAAAAATGGAATGGTTGAGTTTTCTGTGACAAGTAATGAGACCATCACCGTTTCCCCAGAATATGTGGGCTCTAGACTATTACTGAAATTAAAGGAAATGGCAGAGGAATATCTTGGAATGCCAGTTGTCAATGCTGTTATTTCCGTACCAGCAGAATTTGATCTAAAACAGAGAAATTCTACGATTGAAGCTGCTAACCTTGCAGGTAATATCATCCTTGCTTGAGTTACATTTTTCTCAAAATTTTCTTAGGTAGAAAATCTTCTATAGTAAGGTATATCGCTTTGCAAATCACCTAACTAGGCGTATAAACAAACTACATGTTAAGTAAATTAGATGAATATATAAGTTTGCAAACAATAATTAAGAAAGCCCTATAGCACAGTGTGAAATGTGTATGTTAAGACAGTAACCAGTCAGGCACATGACATGTTTAGAGAGAACATGTTAGCAATGAGGAGTTTTTACTTCTAAACTTTTTTAATGTTAAGATGAATATAATGTTTTTAAAAAATCTGAGGTAGGAAAGAATTCATTCAGCACCATTCAACAAATACTGAGTGCTTTGGTAAACAAAACAGATAAATCTCTGTTCTCAAGGAACTTAATTTCTAGTAGAGGGGAACAAAATCAACGTTAAAAATAAGTATATCGTGGTGTTTCTCACCTTTAGTAGTATTGACATTTGGGGCCAGATAATTCTTTGTTGTAGGAGACTGTCCTGTATACTATGGGATATTTGGTAGCATCACCAGCCTCTACTCATCAGATGCTAGCAGAACCCACCCCACTGAAGTGGGACAATCTTATGTCTCTAGACATTGCCAAATTTCCCTGGTGGGGCAAAATAGCCTGTGGTTGAGAATCTCAATATAGTGTATATCAAAAAGTAACATGCTGTGGGGAAAAAATGGATAAGGGGACAGGATTGCTGGGTGGTCAGAGAATAAGGGGTCTTTTAAGTCTTAAAGAGAGTGGCTAAGTAGGCTTCATTGAGGAAGTGACATTTAAATAGATTTAAAAGAAGCAACGTAAATAGCCAAGAAGAAATATAGGGGAATTATGTCGCTGGAAGGAGTACGCCCAGTGCAGCAGCCACAAAATGGAAATTTGCTCATATAGAAGAAGATAGGAAGTTGGCCAGTGTGGCCAGAGCAGAATGAGTAATGAAGTTAGAGAACCGAAGGAAACAGAATGATCTTTGAGTAAATTATTCTGAGTTTGAGTACGTTTTATGGCTCTTGATAACAGAAAGCCAAATTACTTCCCAGAATACTTGTGTGGCAGTTTAAAGCATGAATTTTGCTCAAGGAAATCTGATCTTCTGATTAAAATCAGATTTGCTATATATTTCAGATTTGCATTTGAGGGTCTTGTATTTTAAATACTTTTTAAGAGTATCATTGTAGTTATTTGAATATCTCATCTAGATTTTTCTTTTTATCATTTTTGTTTTTTCATCTTCCTATCAAAAAGTCATTTTTAAAAGAGCACAGAAGCTTATCTCATTTTCACGACAATTCGTTATGTAATGGTTAAAATTTTATTACTCATATATTCCCAAGTAAATATGAAACTTAGAGGATCAGAGATTTTTTTTTAAAATTAAGTATTGAGAATAAAATGTATTTCACTGAATGTATCTGGGCCTTTATTTCTTTACATCATGATCCTTTAGAATAATTTTAATGATACCTATTTAGAAAAACCGATGTTTATCCTTCCTGTTTCATTTTTGGGTTGTGGCTCTTATTATTACTCAGTGGAGTTCATGTCATAGAAGACACTAACTAACATGATGTGAAGTTGAGTGGGAAAGAATTTGTGTCCTCTCATGAATTGTTTTTCCCTCAAACCAATCATACAGGACTGAAGATCTTACGGGTAATAAATGAACCCACAGCAGCAGCTATGGCCTATGGTCTCCACAAGGTTGATGTCTTTCATGTCTTGGTGATAGATTTGGGCGGAGGAACTTTAGATGTGTCATTGCTGAATAAACAAGGAGGAATGTTTCTAACCCGAGCAATGTCTGGTAAGAAAAATATATGGATAGTTAAAGAAGGTTCTAGCACATTAACATACCTAATATGTAAAGTATTCATTTTTAAATTTTTTTCAGTATTCTTTGACTTGATGTTGGTAATCTTCTGTATATGTAATTTTATGCCACTGTATGTGTATTTACAGCAAAAAGTTAAGTCTCAAAAAAAATGACAGGGCATCCTATAAGTCAAAAAAATACACTGCCAGTGGTAGCTCACTAAGCCAATACTTTTTAGGCTGTGAAGGGAACAGAAGGAAAGAAATTCTTTTAAAATAGAGGTTGATCATTTTATTTCATTTGATAATCAGTTTCACAGAATAGATAGCTTTAGAAAATCTATAATACTATTCTCTAGGAAGTGATAGGATTTACGTTTCAAATCTTTTAAAAAGATTTTTTAATTCAGTTGAAGAAATTAATAAGCCTGTTTGAAAAGTGGAGCTGTAAGTTACAGTTGGTTTAACTTCTGCATTTGTCTTCATCCTAACTGCACTCTTTAGAACAAATTTCAGTGCTGGGGATTTAAATTACATTATTCTTTTCCTTTTAAGTCCTTTTTTCCCCCTATTTTTAGCTCTTTATCATTCAAGCAAAAGATTTTTTTAAAAAAGGTAAAATGCCTAACTGGTACTTTTTAATTATAAGAAGGGCTTCTGTTGAATAATGGCATTTAGTGTTTGTAAATTGCTACTTAAAAGCCAATCTGTATTCTCATTCTCTGTTTTCTGAAAAACATATTTGCTATCATTAAGAGATACTTTCTTTTACAACATTTAAAAAATTTAACGTGATGTGCACTGTTTTTTGATAGTACACGTTGAAGTTAAAATCATTTTTACCTAGTTATTTTTGATCAGTCTTTGTATGAGTAAAATTATAATAATACATTAAATTAGGGATTTGTTATTCCCAGAATATCATTTGTATACATACATACATACATACAACACAGATACATGTATATACACATATATATGGATAACTATAATATAAACTCTTTTATTTTTAACTTAGGAAACAATAAACTTGGGGGACAGGACTTCAATCAGAGATTGCTTCAGTACGTATATAAACAGATCTATCAAACATATGGCTTCGTACCCTCTAAGAAAGAGGAAATCCATAGGTTAAGACAAGCTGTGGAAATGGTCAAATTAAATCTGACTCTTCATCAGTCTGCTCATATGTCAGTATTACTAACGGTGGAAGAAGAGGACAAGAAGGAACCTCAGAGTAGTGACACCGAACTGCCAAAGGACAGACTGTCCCCAGCAGATGGCTACCATGTGAACAGCAAGTTTGGAACTGGCCTTTCTGAAAAGAAAAGAGAAAGTCAGGTTTTATTTGAAACCGAAATATCACGAAAACTCTTTGACACCCTTAATGAAGATCTCTTCCAGAAAATACTGGTACCCATTCAGCAAGTATTAAAAGATGGCCACCTAGAAAAGACTGAGATTGACGAGGTGGTTCTGGTTGGGGGCTCTACTCGTATTCCTCGCATCCGCCAAGTCATTCAGGAGTTCTTTGGAAAGGATCCCAACACGTCTGTAGACCCTGACCTGGCGGTAGTGACAGGAGTGGCTATCCAAGCAGGGATTGACGGAGGCTCTTGGCCTCTTCAAGTCAGTGCTTTAGAAATTCCCAATAAGCATTTACAAAAGACCAACTTCAACTGAATTATGGAGGAATGATTATCATTCGTGATCTTGTCTGATGATATATACCTATTTATCAGACTGCCTCCCCTGAAAAAAAAGTCTCTAAAATATTTTATGAATTTACCTAAAAGGCAACATTTAGATCCACAAAAATTTTGCATAACACTTTACATTAGGCTTGAAAGTGACCAGATTGATCCTATTTGATTTGAAGAGCTCCCATTCCAACAGATACTTCTAAAATGATGGAATTGAGATAAAATTCTTATAGAAGCATGGGTGGCTATATTTTCTGGATTCTAGAAGTAAATGACCATATGCACTTAAAATCATATTCTGTAAACATTACCTAGTGTCAATTACAGGATTCTCAGTTCTTACTAAATTATATTAGCAGGAACTGATAATTAGTTTACTTGGTTATCACATGTAACTATTAATTTGAACTATACTTGAAGGACAGTGTTGATGTCAGGTATTTACATTGGCTGGGAGAAAGCGGTATTCGCAACATAAGCTGCCTATGTAATATTCAGTAACTGCCATATTATGTAACAATTACTTTCACAAACTCAATATTCCATTATGTGTCCTGTTCACGTAATCTGCGTTCTCTAGATTTTTAAGATACATTTATTGGATCAATTTTTCTTTCAAAATAGCTATAGACTTATTCATATGTTTCAATACTAGATAGTAGAAATACCCAGTTTATATTCTAGTTCCTTCATCTGCTGTTCATCATTCCCTGCTTGGATTTCCATGAGATTCTCCCTGGTTAAAAAACAGGGAATTTTTAATTGCATTTTTTGAATGTGTTAATGTCATAATAAGGTTTTCATTACTGTCATTTCTGTTATCCAAGACCTTTTAGACATTGGTAAACAGTAGTAATTAACTACAGTATTTATTTTATGTTTTTGTTTTTTTTGTTTATTTTCAATAAGCCCTGGAGAATGTAGCTTGTAGTTGATTTAGTTTTACTTAGATTTTTTTTCTTCATATTTATTTTTGAATGAGGAAAATGTGCTCATTTGTAAAAACCTTTCTATAATCTCCTATCACTTTAAAATAGTCACATTTGGACTATTTTTAGCCTTAAGGTTAGTGTGTGAAGAGAGCAAAAAAATTGTGGATATTGGAAGTAATGTGGAAATCTAGTATGGAAGGCAACGTGGAAACATTTCCACCAGTCAGCATTTGTAGCAGTTTTGTTTTTGTCTGTTTTCTTTTAGAAAAACTAAAAGGACCAAGAAAGAAAATTTAGCAGTTCTATTTCTGTGATGCCCATATTAGATGAAGATGTTTTTTAATAGTGGCATGCTTTATGTCAATATTCAGAAATTATACTCTGGTCAATAGTTTGGTTAAATTGAGTCTGCTTTAAACATTGTTGCATTTGAAAGGATCTCAAATTTTCAATCACTGGGAAAGAGAACTAAGCATACTCATTTCAGCAACATCAAAACAGTTCGGCTCAGTGAAAGGCTGGATGTTAATGTGTTTTGCAGATCTAAAAATTTCTTAGCAATGAAACTGCTGTTGAAACAATTTCAAATACTTTTGTGTACAGAAAATATCTGTAGTAGGTAGAAAATGCAAAATGTTTGTTGACATATTTTATTTTGAAACTAACTGAGAAATGCCAAAGATGAATCCTTCACTGCATTATGAAGATATTCAAGTGTTCTGGACTTTATATAAATCTTTAATAGATTTTAGAATTGAAAAAAATCTTTTTATGAAAGTCTTTAAGAGAAAAGTATTCAATTTATCAAAATCTCCACATTAATATCAGCTTTAAACTAAAGCATTTTAAGATTTTTTTAAAAAAAATTTGTATTTCTCCAGTATATGACATAGATTATGACAATCTATTAACAGTTTTTAGAGGAAACAATTTACAAAATAGAGCAGCTAATCTCATATTCTAAAATTGGAATTTAATAATTTGTGTCTGAGAGATAATGGCAGTGTTGGAATTTGGGGGCTATAGTTTAGCATATTCTCTAGTATAGCTACATCTTTAAAAATGAAGTAGTGCCTGTCTTCAATCATTTTAGAAGGCTATATGTAAATAGACTTGACATCAATATAGTTTATTTAAGTGCTGAAAATGCATCCTGAAAGGGATCATTTATGCATAACAATCTGAAGACAGTTTTCATAAAACAAACATTATATTTTGGTTATACATCTAGCTAGTGTATTTTGAAGTACATAACTTTAAAATACTAACTGTCTTGTATGATTAGAATATGTGAATGAGTAAGTTATTTTGTATCAGGAATGTTTTGGTACTGTTTTCACTCAAACCACTGACGTATCTACAGATACCACTGTGTATAGCATACTGAAGATTATAGTTATTGTGCATAACAGATTGTGCCTCTTAAATTTGTGTGTATACAAGTCATTCACATTTTAATGTAAATAAATATGACTTTGCAGTTTGTTTTAAACTCTGTACTTTAGTTTCCATTCAGGGCTGGGTGGATTTTTGAGGTATATAGTAAAAAAAGGAAGCGGAGATAGAGCTGATCTGATGCCCATGACACATGACCCTCGATAGCTATTGCCTAGTTTCCTGCATCCTGATTGTCTCTAAAATTGCTTGTTTTTCTACTTATTTCCCTAATTTAGAAGAGACAGTTCCTGTATCATACAAGCATTATCTCTAGAATTCCCTATAGCAGTTCATGGCTTCTGACTAATGGAGCCATCTAAACTAATCTAGATAGTTAATAAATAAACCTGCATAACAGACAAATATCCTTTAGTTGATGGTTAGTTTCTAACAAAGTTTGTATCATTTTTTGGACAATAAACTTTCTTTGGAGAAATTCATTTGATGTCTTTTGAAATGAGCCCTTAAAGACAGTAGACTTGACTCCAATGCTAATTCTTGTGATTCTTTCATAATTATTTTAGCTACTATTGCTGAGAGACTCGAATTTACAAGGAAATACAGTGATACATGTTTATTTTATTTCATAAGCAAATATACAGTGCCCCATTAAGGTAGGCAGCCTGTAATGTGGCTTCCAGTGATTCCAGCCTCCTGGTAGTCACTCCTTTGTGTTGTCTTCCTCTTCCCTTGAATTTGGGCAAGATTTGATGACTTGCTGCTAATGAACAGAATAGAGCAGAAATGCTTAGTATGTCACTTCTAAAATTGGGTTATAATAATGACTAGTTTCTGTCTTGGGTGCACATGTTTTTTGCTGTAAAGACCAGGCTATTTTGGTGAATTCAGATAGAGAAAAAAGGCCTTGGAAGATGAGAAGCATATATAAGTGAACAGGAACTCTAGGTGACAGCACCTTCCAGTTATGTGAGAGCCTTCTTAAAAGAACCCTCTCCCTAATCAAGGCTTCATATGATACAGCCACAGTTTAAATCTGAATATAACTTCATGAGAGATCTTAAACCAGAATCGCCCAGCTAAGTGGCTTCCAGATTCCTAATTCATGGAAACAATACATTTTTGTTGTAAGCTTTCAAATTTTTTTTACCAATTTGTTATTCACAAGAGTGGTTACTGTGTACCAAGACTGTTCTAAATATATTAGTAATACCAATTAAGTTTTGTACTAACTAATTTATGAGTAGGTACTATTATCCCCATTTTCATGTAGAGAAATTAAAGCACAGATGTGTTAGGTGATTTTCCCAGGATCATACAGCTAATAAAGTTATTCAAATCCAGTCCATGCTTAAACCAATACTGTGCTGCTTTGCCCAATAAAATCCCATAGTACCCTTTCTGTTCAGTACTAAACTTCTGGATAGTATCGATGAAAGACCTCTTGTTTACCAGGTAATGATAAATTTCAAGATTTAAATAGTGCTAGTCCTTTCCATTTCTGACAAGCAAACATGAATTTACAAAATTTTAAATACAAAATGGAGATAATAGTACTTTGGGTTTTTGTGAGTGCTTCACATATAGAAAGTGCTAAATATTGTGAGTGGATGGATATAGTAGAAAGATAACAAAATGAACAAAGAAGTTCAATAGCTTGGCAATTTTTTTGTGGGGTTATAAGAAAATGCCACAACAATATAGGTTATTATCTTCCCTAATAGTCTCACGACCCTGATTGTGTATGGGTCTAAATTTTCTGCAAGTTCTTGAGATTTCTGATGAAATATGAAAGAAAATAAATTTGCCTTGGTAAACCATTTACTTTTAGAAAGAATATTTGCCTCACATTAAGTTATTTGGATGTCAAAGCAGGAACAAATGCGGTTTCTTTTACATCTCATTGAATTAACATTATTTGGTTTATCTAAAATACCTCCTAAAATATTTCAAATGAAAAAGCAGCTGTAACTTTAACTATGTATTTATTTATAAAGCACATAAACACATATTTATCCTGTCAAGAGTTCTATTCATATTGTCGAACACAGCTTATATAGTATTGGTAACTAGAAATCGGATCTCAATTAGTTGTAATGACAACCCTTTCTTTGTCTCCAAGTTGCTTAACTAAGATAATTTTGTCATGGTTAAAAAGACTTTATGACAAAAAGTAGTAGTGGCAGACCCTGCTAAATGCCCTTGAAATATATTTTCTACTCAGTCTTCCAGAACCCAGTTTTTTGGAACAGCAACATCCATCCACTACTTTAAAATTCTTTCCCAGCTACTTTCACAGCTAAGGATGCTATGTGACATAATTCTGAACTGATAAGTAAGCATAGATCACTAGTTAGACACCACCACAGACTTTTTTTGTTTCTTAAGTTTGCACATTTGAATTATACAAACATCTAGTTCCTCACCATGCCTTTCTTCTTGGAATGCAGATGGAATGCTGGGGATAAAGCAATGAGTTTGCAACTACCAACCTTCATACATGATATGGATGGTTGAGCAAAAGATAGAAGAGGCCCAGTGCTGTTATGGAACCACTGTAGCAACTTTGTCCTCTATACCTCAGGGCTTCTTTATACCTGAAAAAAATAAGCCTCTCGGTTGTTTACTTTTTTTTTTTTTTTTAATTCCTTGTGCTTTTAAACTTTCATATCTAACTTTGTGGTTATACATTGGGTCGAATTGTCATTTGTTAGTCTGCTTCTGGACAAGATGGAATAAAAAGGAACTGTCAACTAAAAAATTGGACAAAATATATGAAAGAGCTTTTCAAAACTCTATGCATCATGGCCAACATTAATTCTTGTCCATTACCTCTGTAAAATCATGGATATGGAAGTACAGGGAGGGCAGAGACTGTTTGGTAACACCTGGAAATTGTTGCACAAATGCTCAGAACAGAGAACCAGAAGCAGACATTTAGAGGAAATTAGTGGTGACTGAAGTTGTATTACTATGTATGCCTTCTAATTCCTGTTGCACTCCATTGTCACACATTCCAAATCATTCATTTTAGTCTTACTCTCTGATCACAGTACATGTTCTATGTATGTAAGAGCAATAAACCAATAATCATTCACAAGTATATTAATTATAAGCTGAATTTTATAAATATGAAATCAAAAATTGATCCTATATCACTCTCCTTGGCACACAAAAATGCATGTATCACTTCTAAATGTTTTGAAGCAAATATTTCAAATTTTTTGCAAATATTTTTCAATTTATGATCAATTTTTACATTTACTCATATGCCTATTCATTTTAATTTGCTCTCTGTACTTCACTCATGAGATAAAAGATTTTTATCTTTGAACAACTGTGATACCAACATGTGCTCAGACTGTTCAGTCTGTAGACAACAAATGAGCAAACCTAGTTCCCTAGTCAGCAATCATCAATAAGGGAAGCCAGGCAACTTTAATCTGGTTCATACCCATTACCCTGGCCTCATTAACCCAGCAGCATCCCAGACGGTCATGTACTACCAAGACTGTCTACCTTTTTTTTTTTTAAGAAGATTTAGAGAACCATGGCTCACAGTATAGCCAGATGGTCCACTTGGTTGGAAAATGACCCCTAGAAAAGTGAGAACCAGGAAAACAGAAGGAAGAAGGAGAACTTCCCTGACTGCTGCCTTCTCAATTTTGCTAGTCTCACTGAGATCATGTTGTGCACCGCTGGGGACCGTATCTTATTATGATTTCAGTTGTCCCCAAGTTGCTGTGTATAGAACACGTTCATAATTATTGGCTCAGTTTTTGTTTAATAGTATATACCGTGATGTGATTTTGTTTGTAAATATGAAACAATTAGAAGGAGCTATGACTGTTGGTATTTAAATGATAGCTAACATGTTTTTGAATGTTTTCTATATGCCAGTTACTAACCTAATTGTTGTGTTACCTGATTTAATTTTCAAAAACATCTTAAGAGATAGATAGAATTATTACTCCAAAATAAGTCCAGAGAAGTAAGATAATTTGCCCAAGTACATACAGCTAGAAAGTTGAGATTTAACATAGGCACCCTGTCTTGAGACCCTAAATTCGTTTAACTAGTACAGTTTTCCTATTTTAATATTCTTGATTATTTTTCCTAAAAGAAAAGCCTTCTAAATAAGTTAGAACTATTTATTATTTGTGCGTGTTAAAATATAGCAGCACATCTTCTTAACACTAAATTTGATATCAAAGCTATGTTTAAAAGTATATGAAATTGCCATTATTCATCCACTTTTGACCTATAAAAATGGCTATTTCATATCATTCGAACTAATACTAGATGTGAAGAAGCATCTCCTCCCCCAAGCTCTGATTCCGTTTACTATGCCTACAAAGATTTTGGTTTAAAGTCCTCCTCCCTCATTCCTGAACTGTAACAGGCTCTGTAAGTGGCTCCTCTGGGAAGCCACTTACAGAGCCTGTTAGTGGCTCTGTAATTCATAAATGAATTACACCTGTATTCATTTATGAGAGGAATGACTATGTCTCTTTTCTCTACAAAGCTCCTCTTTGCAGTCACGTGGACCTGGATTCTACCGTTTCTTGGCCAAGATTCTCTTGGTATCTTATTTTGTTTAGTAAAATAGAGTGGATTAAAATACTTTTCTTATAGTCTTTAATGAGGATAAAAGCAATAAATGATTCCAATGCTTTACATATTACTTGATATATAGTGAGCTTTCAATAATAAATAATATTCTCATCCTAAAAGAATTCATCTTAATGTTGCTTAGGATTTTTCTTCTATCAGCTAAGGTAAATATTTCTTCATATCAAAATATCAATCATTGTTTTCATACTCTATTTCAAAGTTACCATCTTTAAACAAAATAATCATTGAATAAATGTGTTTTTTTTTTAATTCAAATGTAATTCAAATGTATTTGTGTACCCTGCACTTTGCTTCTAATGATTAAACAAGCTTGATGTACATAGTTGAGATGAGACTTAAATATTAATTTCTTAAAACAATAAAATTAGCTTTAAGTAATTTTGGCTTATTTTATTTATTTTTGCTTTTTTAAAGTCTTTAAGTATTATATATGTATATCATATATTACATAAATATGTAAAT